TATAAAAGTGTATTTGGATTGAAGGAATAGTGTATTGGGTATATTTCTGAAACCGGGGATCATGATTCTTGAGATTCATCATTAAATTAACATTAACCAAAATATTTACAAATTAACTGCAATTTTCGACTTCTAATTAATTATCTTCTTATGGGGATGATCACAATCAAAGAAATAAATTATCCGTTAAAAATTACCATGAGTGGTGATATGATGAGAGGTGAGAGAACGAAGTATTCGTTCCATTGTCAAGGGGTCCTTAAACGTCGCAAGGTGTCCACACTGCGACTCACAGTAGTGCTTAAATAAGGAAAAATGGAAATAAATCATTTATAATGATTTCGTTTGAACTTTAAAAAGTGCAGTCATTTTTTGACTTAACACTAACCTTTGCTTGTATCCAAGACATTTTTGTCGTTCCTGTATGGTAACATTCGTTATGATAAGTGTAGTCAGTAGTAAATGGACATCTGTTCGAGTTGTATTTGCAAACTAAAAGATGAATCATTTTTACTGTCTTATGAATTCATCATAAAAGGTACCGGTAATCTTGCTTTTAATTTATGAAGTTCACATAAAATTAATGTTACGGCTGTCATAATATTCTTAATACTCGAGACACATATAAAAAGATATTTCTTTGATTTGTAATTACGTTTACAAAAAAGAAATGTAGAGTAATATTTGCAAGTTTAATGAATTTGTTTACAAACTAATTAATAAAAGCTCACCTTATTCATTTTGTTCCTTACCCCGCTTATTATAGAACTACATGTAGCTAGACGAATTAAGAATTTTTTAATATCATACCTCTAGTGGTGATTGTTATTTTCCGATATCATACCTCTAGCAGTCGCTGCTATTTTTCAGTATCATACCTCTAGCATTAGTTGTTATTTTTCAGTATCATACCTCTAGCATTAGTTGTTATTTTTCAGTATGATACCTCTAGCATTAGTTGTTATTTTTCAGTATCATACCTCTGGCAGTGGTTGTTATTTTTCAGTATCATACCTCTAGCAGTGGTTGTTATTTTCCAGTATCATACCTCTAGCATTAGTTGTTATTTATCAGTATCATACCTCTAGCATTAGTTGTTCTTTTTTAGTTTCATACCTCTAGCAGTGGTTGTTATTTTTCAGTATCATACCTCTATCAGTGGTTGTTATTTTTCAGTATCATACCTCTATCAGTGGTTGTTATTTTTCAGTATCATACCTCTATCAGTGGTTGTTATTTTTCAGTATCATACCTCTATCAGTGGTTGTTATTTTTCAGTATCATACCTCTATCAGTGGTTGTTTATTTTTCAGTATCATACCTCTATCAGTGGTTGTTATTTATCAGTATCATACCTCTGGCTGTGGTTGTTGGGACTGTTGTGGGCGTTGTAGGAGGGGGCGTGGTTTCTGGGACCAGTTGATGATGATTACACAGATCTCCATGACAACAACCTCCTGTCAATGACAGCTCTGGGTTCCAACTGGCTCGTCGTCCAAATATAGAACTTGCTTGTGTATGCAGGTTGTCACATATCTAAAGAAGTGAGAGGAGTTTTGACATCAAAAAATAAAGTTCCGTGATCAATCTCAGAAATTCTGTACACGGTACAAAACATAAGAAGGCTAGAACAGGAATCCCGGGAAACACCAGAAGTGACATCAAGTGCTAAGAAAGAATTTCTTGTCCACCCGCCTGGAATCCTCTGCATTGATCAGATAAACTGAGCAATTCGTACTTAAATCAAGAATACAAAAAAATTTAAATGAAACAAGACGGTCAAAAGGCGACGAATCAAAATGTTGTATTTGCAATAGGGATGTCAACGAGTACCCGGTTAATCGGGTACTCGATCGAACGTATGAGAATCGAATACTAAAATCAAAATTATAATGACCAATCACCTGGTACACAGTATTTCTCACCTATTGCAGTCCTTAATTTTTGGATTGATTCAAAATTTTGTTTTCATTGAGGATCGTTTATGTATGTTATGCTATTTTAAATCATTTTGAAATTATTTAGTAAACGGTACCGAATCCGACATGTATAGATATGCTGTTACCGACTTATGTAAAGATATATTTTGTAATACATGTAATTGAAGATTTTCAAAAAAAAGTTTAAAGTCCGCTCGATCGCAAAACGTCCGACTAACCGATTACCAAATATTGACCGATTTGACATTCCTCATTTGCAGACATTATTATCAAAATGATCAGGGAATTTGAGAAATGAAAACTTTAAGCTGTGAAAAGCCATGTAACATCGGTTTATTTACCAGTAGCTGTTCCAGGCTCTATTCTCAAATTGATCGAACTCAGTTCTTAAAAATGCCTGATAGAAATAGTAACATAACTAGCAAGATATCATTTATGTTCAAAAGCTCGGAACCCATTAAGGAATAATTATAGAAAAAAATGTAATAAAAGTTTTGAAATAAACAATGCACTGAACTGATTTGTTTTCAGCAATATTTATATTAATTAACACATATTAATACATAGGAGGTTCATATTTCATTATCATTCATAAATAATATCTAATATAATAATAGGAAGAAATCTTTTATACATGCAATATTTCTACAGCATGCTTGTATAACATGAACAATGTTCTTTTTAGAGGGCGGAAAGTTACTAAAATTTTATATGAAATAAGATAATTACCCTTTGATGAACACATCCAAGTCGGTAGCCATGTTCCAGGTTGAAATTCAATGTTTCTAGTGTGTAACAAACCTAAATAAATAAAACATAAGATCAATTTTAAAGATATTTTCATTGAACAGATCACTGCGATCAGAACTTAAATATTCAAAAATAAAAAGTAGCCATCTGATAAATAGGACTTCAGCATTATCTTATCATAGAAATATTTAATCAAACTCACCTCTCCAGGATCACAGACACGTGACACAGTGCAATTCTCGGCTGAAGACACGTGTTCACATTCATAACACTCGCCTGAAAACAGGTAACCACAGTAATTAACAAGTTGCCGTCCTTTAAAAAAGGACTGCAATACGTGGACCATATGCATCTTTTTTCGAACTGAAATTCAATTAAGAACATTTCTAGGTGTAGGAAATATTCATGTTGGTTTGTTCACATTTTCTACAATCATCTGCCTATTATGACTGATTGTAGTCTCAAAGCAAAATTGTTAAAATATATCTCTGATTAGCGACATTTAGTTTTATCATTTATTTAATTTGATACGTGTGTAACTCATACTACTTGACACCTGTTCTGGATTTATACGGAAGAAATCTATCATGGAAAAAATATGACACTCGCCTTTTTATTTCAGCGGTCTGGTGGTTCACGAGTAGCACAGCTCTGTAGTAAGCAGATTTCTTTTGTTGGGACCCCCCCCCCCCCCCACACACACATTAAAATACTACAGACTTTTATCAAACGATATTTGGATTGCTGATATATTAAATTATTTTGCGAGCCTTGGTGCACAAAACTAATGCCGATGAAAACTTGTTCTATCTTTTTAAAGCTAGAACTAGTCGTTGAGTGACGTTTTTCATTCAAGTTATTAAGTTACATATGTATCTATATACTGTAACTTCTTAAAATGCTTGTACCAAAGAATAATGTTTAGTTTGTATGTAAAAGTAAATGAATATGTAAATGTGATATGTAGATTTAAAAGCGCGATTTGCCACAGAATGGCATATTTTAATTCGAATAAGGCGAATTATTTTACGGGCAAGTTACCTCAGGTGCAAACTCTCTAGCATTCTCGCGCATGTCGTTTGCCCATGGCATCCGGTTTAACCTCGCTTATTACAGCGTGGTCCTCACGGTCCACGCAATGAACAACAGTTTTTAAGCACCATTGTTGAGAAAGAAGTTACCGCAAAGTTAGGAGATGCACAAAGAAAAAAAGAGATGTCTTCGTAATATCCTTTCATTATCATGATTATTGGAGTTCAAGTAAAATATGTTTGACAAGGGGGATTAATCAAGAACAGGGTAAAACACGGACCCATAGGAAGATCAAGGGTGGAGTAGGTATGTAGGAGAAGGAAACGTCCAACAGATGGTTGGAGGGCCTGGTATTTAAAGGTCTTTAAAGACTACAGTGTTGATTGATTGGTTGTATGTCGCTTAATATCCCTCTCGAGAATTTTTCACTAATATTAAGATGCCTATCGTTATTGTCAATAAAAAACTTCAGGTTCTTTAAAACATTAACTTAATATGTTTGAAGATGTTTGGTTCTGCATTTAAAAAAAATGATTCAAAAGAGAATTTACTTACAAGAGTTTATTGGTAAAACTCTATGAAAACCACAAAATGCTTGTATAAAATGTTTACTACACTGTATATAAGTTTATGAAAGTAATGCCTTTAACATAAGCTTTTAGACTTTAGCATATTCATTTTAAATAATTCCGATAAAGTTAAATTTTGCCCGTAATTTAAAAGTATTTCGCAGAAGTTGCTCATTCAATTTTAATACTTATATTTCACCTTTTTCCAAGAAAAATAAACTCTTACTCACTGCATTTTCCACACAGCCTTGGACAGATATGATCTGCTATACAGTCATTATTACACATGTGGGTATTAACGGTGAATAGTAAGGTACAAGCCAGATTGTCGGCGTCAGCACAAACTGAGGATCCACTCTGACGCCTGACAGCTTTAAAGTAAAAAAAAACCAAAAAAAAAAAACAACAAAAAACTGATAACTAGGAACTATCGCAATTTAAATTATGATTCTAAAATGAACAAATTCAAAATCGTTGATTTATATTTTAACATTTAGTTACAAACATAAATAACTTTTGTTTTCAAAATTATTTAAAAAATGATAATTATTTGAAGTCTTATTCAAATTTTAACATGAGCAATATTTTCAAACATTGCTGAACTTTATGAAAAAAATATGTGTTGTCAATTGCAATATGTGAAAGAGGCTAGATGTCATTGCTGAAAGATAAAACTCAAATCTATCGTGCTTAAACAAGATTTAATACATTTATTGCTTGATAATTTAATTTTTCAATTGTACAATAATGTGTGACACGTACAATATTTCAAATCCAGTATTAAAGACTGAAAATAACTAATTGTGATCAATAAGAGAGGATTTTTTTTTATCAAAAAGAAGCTTACAATTTCACAATTATGAATAATCATAAATTTCTATCTTTTTTCGATAACAGAAAAAATCACACAATTAACACACAAAAAGTTGTTTTACAAAACGTGGTTCTTAATTTCTTAAATATTTATTGAACGTCGCACCTGTTTGAGAGGATTTGACCTTCACCTCTCTCTTGCTGCCGTCATTGTGATTACAGAGGTCTGATGTACAACAGGAAGTTCCTGCTCTTTTACTCAATGAACGTTTTCCATAATGAGAACATACCTATGAAATGACAACAAGGACTTTTGGGGTCATTACAATAAATCCCTTAATTTTGTAGTAAGCTTAGGTATTTAGACTTAGTAATGAAATTATTTTTGATTGTAATATTTTCTTATTAAATATACTCATATGTTGACAAATGGGAGGCAAATATCTTCTCAATCATTTGTTAAGAGTGTATTGTATATGATATTATATCGATCAAAAATATATCTTCATGGCCAACATATAAAAAGCTGTATTTACTCATTAATATTTGTAAACAAAAAAAAAAAAAAAAAAAAAAAAAAAAAAAAAAAAAAAAAAAAAAAAAAAAAAAAAAAAAAAAAAAAAAATGTTCACTCACCGCCTTAGGGGCACAGCCTAGTTTATAAACTTCTCGGAAATCATTTGTGAAGGATGCTGCAGATATGCATTGCTACAAAGAAAAACATGAAACAGGAAAATTGTTAAGGCAATTTCTTATTTTATAAAAGTATAAGTAATTGTCTTAAATAAAAGTATTCGTTACGTAGTCTTGGCTTGGACACTCAATGGTGTTGTTACACATCTGTGTTGATGAAATATCTGCACAGGAATAACATTTCAGTGCTGTAAGGATAAAACAAAATTAAGGTACTGGTTTGAGACAATCTGCAATTAATGGTTCCTTATTTGTAAATTGACATATTGAAAAGAAATATCAGTTATTTCATATGTATGATGCATTTTAGATAAAAAAAAAGGGTCATTCTTCTGATAATGGAAAAATATTCCACAAGCTTCGCGTATTCATTCGTATTTTTATATGCACCTTTCCAAATTTACAAAGAAAGTATTTTGTAGAAACGTGACATATGTTTTAGAATTACCATAAGATGTGTTCTTGTCGAATTGTAATTTTAAGAATAACTTAAGTGAGATAAAATCAAAATTATATCCTACAAATGCGCTTGTGTTGATCTATACCAGAAAATAAAAATTTAGCATAGGAGAATCCCTAACTATACAGTTATGGATAACATTTTACGCATTGTAAAGTACTCACGACATAGTCCACAGTACCGCTGACATATAGAGGCATAACATGTGTCATTACACATGTCTGGTTTGGAGGAGGCCAGACGCTGACAGGCTGCTGTGTCCATGTCATCACAGGCAAAACACGTCAGAGCGAGGCATATCAAGCCTTCATAGAAGAGGCCAAGAACAATTAAAAGGTCCAGATATTTATCAGGAAAAACAATCGTCAAACTTTTTAAAAATGAATGTTTTTGAGGATCAAAAATACGTTTTCAAAGCATATGGATGTGTAATTAACATAAATTAATGCCTAGAACATGGTACACAATATAGTATTCTTTGTAAGGAGTGTATGAAGGAATAAAGCTAAAAGAGTCAAGCCATTGGACAAGTACTTTCAGGTTTTCAAAACATGAACTTGAAAGAATTTCAGACAAAATAAAACTTACACCTCTTTCATAAGATAAATACGTATTGAATTTATATTTGTGTTCTTTTCTCTGTAATATTAAATTCAAAAGATTTTAAAAGAAAAGAGATATGTTTGAGTGTGTGTAAATAATACAAAAGACTCACCAACAATGACCTTCCACATGTCAGCCATATTGTAGAAGTTATCACGATTAAATTCACGGATTAAGATAAGAACAATTGTTGAGATATATATTCGTGTAAGTGTTATTATATTGTTTTTAGATATACATTTTATTGTATATCGTAGACTTTCAATATACTGATGATTCAGACCCCCACCCCCACCCCCACCCCACCCCAAAAAAGAACTAAACAGCTGAAAAAGAGACTTTAAAAACGCATTTATGAATGTAATTTCTCTCTGTAGTGAAGAAGGTTCCTCAGCAAATGTAAAATGAATTTTTACGAGATGGTAAATTCTTCTTGAATGCTATATTTGTTTAAAAGGATATTCAAACAATGGAATAAGCAATATATATAAGATTTATATTCATACAGGAGTCATCTAAATAATTAAATAACACAATTAGTGTGTGAGGATTTTTCAAGAAATCGTGTAATAGGTAATTTAATATTTTCTACGTCCCCTCAACTTTCTATTCTTTGTCAATGGCTATGTCTATATTTTCTTACTAGCTTAATTTCTCTTTTATAACGTCCATTATAGCTTACGTCATGTGGAACCAAGGGAAACAAAGTGAAGTCCTTATCTTTGATCTTAAGAAGCTTCCCCGCGCGACAGTTTCATATATATATATACTTTTTATGGTAAATGTCTACCAAATTTGAAAATACTAACGATTTGAATTATTGAACACGTGATTTGTAGAATACCTTGTACATAAAAAAAAGAAAATGTCTTTAAAATATTCATCGTCTTCAATGTTCATCGTGAATATATTTTTGCGAATATGTCTATATGGTATTTTAAGTTTTTTATTGAATACCTATCTAGTATTTTCTCGGGGTTTTTGTTCAAAATCAAATGCAATGAATATGTATTTTGCTAAAAGAACATACACAAGTAACAATGCATACAAGTTTCAATGCGTGATGAGCGTGCCACTAATCTCTCTTAAAAACTGAGTATAAAAGCATCCATATGAACATAATTAACAAACAAGCAAGCAAACAACATGTAAATATTTGATAGGGAATAATTTAATTCAACAAAGTCCACAAACATGGGGGCATAATCTTGCACTGCTTTGATCTAAGCAAATGGAGGATATAAAACTAAAGTCAGTGCACCTAGAATCTAAGTTTCGACATGGGACCTTTGTCGTTGGTGCACTGGTTGTTGTGGAGATGGGAACCAATTTATGGTGATTACAAAGGTTTCCATGACAACAACCACCTGTTAAGGACAGTTCGATGTTATCAGATCGTCGACCAAAAACCGAGCCTGCTTGTGTTTCAAGAGAGTCACATATCTTCAAAGACAGAACAAAATCAGTGTTGAAAATCAAATTTACTCGAGTACTTTTTATCTAAAGCAGAGTACAATATTTATGTAAGCTTCCATAATTTATTTTTAACTTTTAACTGCATCGAATGACAAGACCTGGGACTCAATTGAAATAAAAAGCAATCGTCTGAAATACCTTGTGATGTAGACATCCCATTCTGTATCCATGTTGAAGTTTGAAATCAAGTGTTTCTACTGTATAACAAACCTGAAAAAGAACCTTTTTGATAAGCTTTTTTCATGTTTTTATTCCTTGATGAGGTGAAATCAGATATGGTAAAGATTATGTCTTTCGTTCTTATTCAAATAAATTAAAATATTAAAATTACTTTTTCATTTATTTTTCTTCACTTCAAGGACCGGTATATATTTTTAAAAAAACTTGTTGATGAACAAATATATTTCAAAAATGTGTATTATCGAATGACAGTTACGGTTCAAATGAAGACCAAATATGACATCTAACATCGAATACCCCACTTTTGAAAAGCAATCAGTTTTTTTGGCTTATATTTAACCATTATCAAATATTTTCACAAAGCCTTTGTTATATTCATACAAAAATTGCAAGCTTTGGTAATCGCTTATATCACGAATGCCTGCATGTCTCCAAAGTGTACTTTGAATGTATGTATTATTTTTTGTTTGTTTAACATCCACGGTTTAAATAGTGTAACGCCCCAAAAAACTATTCTATCAAGCAAAACTTAAAATACATCTGTGTTCCAAGTATATTTCATTTTAATGACATAGGAAAGCTTACGAATATTGAATTAGATTTCTGTTTCCCTGAAATAGCAAAATACATGTAATAACTTTACCATTAGAAAATTTACCGGTAATTCTCTCTGTCAAACTAAAAAGTAACTAGGAGACTTATTGTTCAAAGAACAATAAGAGGTCTTTCCACCTTCTTTTAATTTCAATTTTTTTTTATCTGACTCCTTAAAATTAAATTCCATGAATAAGAAACCAAAATTGTCTTAAAATTTAGGAAAAAGGAAAATTAAAAATAAATTGAATGACCTTGACCTTTGACCTTGAAAAAATTATTCAAGGTCAAAGGTCAAGGGTCATAATACAATTGATCCCATGCTTCTATGTCATAGTTTTTAAGTTATAAGGTTTAATAGTAAGTACAAAGAAGTTAAAGGGCAATAACTCATATAAGGGGTCATCATCCTTTCGCACTTGTACAATGAAGTTATGCCTAAAGACCCTTAAGACATTAGTGAGGGTTTCATGTGTCTATGATGTATGGTTTTGGAGGAGTAGTGATAACAAGGTTTTTTTGCACAAAGGGCAATAACTTTTAATGGGGTCAATCTTAAGGGACAAGTATGAAATCTTTGAAATAGTTTTAAGAGTACATATTAAAAATGCAAAGACATATTGTATATGTTAAAAGACGAAAGAGATATAAAAAATGCTTAATATCTCATTTTTGGAATGACCTTGACCTTTGACCTTTGCTTAAATTTTAAGATCAAAGGTCAATGAATCTTATGCAGTTGGTCCCATGTCTATATGACTTCTAGTTTTGAAAATTTTTAATTATTTGTAAAATTCAAAAAGTTTCAGGGGCTATAACTCATTGAAGGGGTTTACGAATCCTTTCGCAATGAATTGTTTGAAAGGTCCTCCCAAGTAGTTGTAGACATTGGTGAAGGTTTCATACCTCTACGGTTTACGGTTTTGGAGGAGTAGTGATAACAAGCATTTCTTGCGTAAAGGGCAATAACTTTGAAAGGGGTCAAAGATCGAATATGGGGGGTCATTTTTCGGAATAACTTTTAATACCCATTATCATGAACTATAACGATTTTCGATAAGTCTTGCGGTTTCAAAACATCTCCAGAAATAAAATAATAACTAGGAGACTTATTGTTCAAAGAACAATAAGAGGTCTTTCCACCTTCTTTGAATTTCAATTCTGTTTTATATCTGACTCCTTAAAATTAAATTCAATGAATAAGAAAACAAAATTTGTCTTAAAAGGATAAATAAAGAAGAAATAAAAATTTAAAAAAAAAATGAAGTGACCTTGACCTTTGACCTTAAAAAAATCTTCAAGGTCAAAGGTCAAGGGTCACAATGCAATTGACCCCATGCCTCTACGACTTATACTTTTCAAGTAATAAGGTTTAATAGTAAGTACAAAGATGTTAAAGGGCAATAATTCATATAAGGAGTCATCAGATCCTTTCGCACTTATACGATGAATTTAGGCCTAAAGACCCTTAAGACATTAGTGAAAATTTGATGTTTATAGTGTCTATGGTTTCGGAGGAGTAGCGATAACAAGGTTTTTCACACAAGGGGCAATAACTTTTAAAAGGGTCAATCTTAGGGGACAAGAATGGAATCTTCAAAAGACTATGAAGAGTGCATATTACAGACAGAAAATAGATATTATATGTTTAAGGATATAGGAGCTATTAAAAAAAAATTATTCCTCATATTTGGAATGACCTTGACCTTTGACCTTGAAATGAATTTAAAGGCCAAAGGTCAATGAAACTGATGCAGTTGGTTTCATGTCTCTACGACTTCTCGTTTTGAAAATTTTTAGTTTTTTATAAAATTTATAAACTTTCAGGGGCAGTTACTCATTGAAGGGGTCAAAGAAAACTTTCGCAATGAATAGATTGAAAAGCCTCCTAAATTAGTTGAAGACAATGGTGAAGGTTTTAAATCTCTACGGTTTACGGTTTCGGAGGAGTAGCGATAACAAGCTTAACGGTGAAAGGGGCAATAACTGCATAAGGGGTCCAAGTTAAAACATGGGGGGTCATTTTTCGGAATAACTTTAAATATCCAGTATCATGAACTATAAAGTTTTTCGATAAGTCTTAAGGTGTCAAAACATAAGGTGAGAAATAGAATAATAAAAAACAGAAGCATTTCAAGAGGTCTTTCCACAGAAAGGTGGAAAGACCTAATAAAAAAGAATAATAACTAGGAGACTTATTGTTCACAGAACAATAAGAGGTCTTTCCACCTTCTTTGAATTTCAAATTTGTTTTATATCTGACTCGTAAAAAATAAACTCTATTAAAAAGAAACCAAAACTCTCTGAAAGCATAGAAAATAAAAAAATTCAAAAAAATAATAAAAAAGAATGAGCTTGACCTTTGACCTTGAAAAAATATTCAAGGTCAAAGGTCAAGGGTCACAATGCAATTGACCACACGCTTCTACATCTTATAGTTTTTAAGTTATAAGGTTTAATAGTAAGTACAAAGAAGTTAAAGGGCAATAACTCTTATATGGGGTCATCAGATCCTTTTGCACTTATACAGTGAAATTAGGCCTAAAGACCCTTAAGATATAAGGGAAGGTTTGGTGTCTCTACGGTCTACGGTTTCGGAGGAGTAGCGATAACAAGGTTTTTCGCATAAGGGGCAATAACTTTTAAACGGGTTAATGTTAGGGGAAAAGAATGAAATCTTTGAAACAGTTTTAAGAGTACATATTAATGATGCAAAGACATTAAATATATGTTAAAAGACAAAAGAGATATAAAAAGAGCTAAATTTCTCATTTTTGGAATGACCTTGACCTTTGACCTTTACATGAATTTTAAGGTCAAAGGTTAATGAATCTTATGCAGTTAGTCCCATGTCTCTACGACGTGTAGTTTTAAAATTTTTTAATTATTTGTAAAATTTAAAAAGTTTCAGGGGCAATAACTCATGGAAGGGGTCTTCGGATCCTTTCGCAATGAATAGATTGAAAAATCCTCTCAAGTAGTCGAAGACATTAGTGAAGGTTTCATACTTCTGTGGTTTATGGTTTCTGAGGAGTAGCAATAACAAGCGTTTCTTGCAAAAGGGGCAATAACTTCTAAAGGGGTCAAGGTTCATTTACGCAGGGTGAACTGCAATAATCTTTTACGGCGTCCATTCTTATGGACTATAAATCTTTTCGATAAATCTTGAAACAAAAAATCACACGGCGGAAAAATAATAAAAAAGAAGAAACAGAAGGAAATCAATAGGTCTTTCCACAGAAAGGTGGAAAGACCTAATAAACAGAACAATTTCAATAGGTCTTTCCACAGAAAGGTGGAAAGACCTAATAAAAACACTAGTAAACTAATTGTTCAGAGAACAATGAGACGTCTTTCCACCTTTTTAAGTGTTTCAATATCATTTGGGCTGAAAAAAATAGGAAAAAAAGCAAGAAAATAAATAAAACAGCAAAATTCTCATTTCTCTACTAGGATTTTAGATCGGGCTCGCAGTTGGTATAATTTTACCGTAAACAGACTTCCTAGATTGTAGTCGACTCGGGGATAAGCAGCAATTCATTGGTCACGCAAAGAGAGCACATAAAAAACATTGTAACACGCTCCTATGTGTATATATGAGCTTGAATGAGATTGTTTTCGAGTTAAGATGTAAGGGGTAAGGTCTGATTAAAATTATGATATAGCTATTAATATGAATAACATGCATTTGAACTGCGCATCAAGACGGAAGCGTAAGTGAAAACGTTGTGAAAAGTCCCATGTGTACCTTCATCATATGTGCATTATACCTGTATTAAAGAGATATTTGAAAATATCCGATTTGAGTTGTTTAATGTTTTAAATGGATGGCGATAAATTATTTAAGAGTATGTGAGAAACATAGCGAGAGATGCAAGGCAGTTTGTAATTATGGAAAAGGAAAACAGAGAATCGGGTTCGGGTTTTAACATTCCTGACCGATATAGACATGAAATTCAATGTAAGTAGCATAAATAAATTTCCAAACATGTAATTCTAGATGGGAAACACAGGGAATAAACGTGCATTTCTTTTTACTATCAATGCTGAAAGTCGCTATTTCTTGGGATTGTGTTATTCTAGGGGGAAAAAAATCAAATTTCAGATGAAATCAAGATTCATTTCATTCATATTAAATCCAAATAAAATTGAAATAAATTCCATACATTAAAGAACGCAAGAATACTTGGCATTAAAATGTCGTAATAGAGCAGGAGAATCGAATGATATTAACAACAATTGCAGAAAATAGCCAATACGGGCTTTAATTAATTTTTATGCTCAGCAATAACTAAATTTCAGACAGAAAAAAAAATGCAGATTTTGCCGATTTTCACTAGAATTTCATTATATTTTAGAGACTCACCTTAAAACTCTCAGGACACTTTCTTTAAGGTCTCTTCTTGCTTTTACTCCAAATCTTATGTCGATATATCGTGACTTTTGACTTGTACACATTTTTTCTATGCTGCTGTTGGTTTTTTTTTTAAAGGGGGGGGGGGGGGAGGTATAAGCATTTGTTAGAGTAAGAGTTGCAAATACCTCAACGACCTTAAGCTTGATTGAGACCTTTGGGTCAATAAGAGGTCAAAGGTCAAGGTCATTTATCAAGGTCAAAGGTCAAGGTCATCAAAAAAAAAAAAAGAAAAGAGAGAGATAAACTTGAGATTAACACTTGAAGCTGAATGTAGATAAAGGTAATGAATATTTCTTTATTACTTTTTGAGTAAGGGGTCAAAGGTCGAGGTCAAATATCAAGGTCAAAGGTCAAGGTCATTTGGATTTTAAGCTTAAATCGACAATTTCTCTAGTTTTTTAATGACCTTGACCTTTGACCTTGACCTAATCTTCAAGGTCAAAGGTCAAAAGATCTCATGCAGTTGGGCCCATGTCTTTATGACTTGTCGTTAAGAAGTTTTTAGTTCTTCGTAAACATCATAACCTTGCAGGGGGAGTAACTACTTAAAATGGTTTAGGAAATCTTTCGCACTAATGGAATGAGAAGTGTTCTAAATTAGTCGCAGACATTGTTGAAGGTTTTGTACCTCTACGGTTTATGGTTTCGGAGGAGTAGCGATAACAAGGGTTTACACTGAAAGGGGCACTAACTTTCAGAGGTTTCAATTTTAGGGGACACGCATGGAATCTCTAAAATGGTTTTAAGAGTACATACTAAAGTTGCAAAGAAAAAAGCTATAAAAAATGCGTAATTTTACATATTTTGAATGACCTTGACCTTTGACCTTGACCTCCATTTTAAGGTCAAAGGTCAATGAATCTTTTGCAGTTGGTCCCATGTCTCTACGCCTTGTCGTTTTAGAAAAATTCTTGATATTTGTAAACATTGCAAGCATTCAGGGGCAATAATTCATTATAGGAGTTTACGAATCCTTTCGCAATGTTTGATTGGAGAGTCTACTAAGTCAGTCGTAAACATTAATAAAGGTTTGGAATCTCTGCGGTTTATGGTTTCGGAGAAGTAGCGATAACAAAAATTTCTTGCGAAAGGGGCAATAACTTCGAAAGGGGTCAAGGCTCATTTACGCAGGGTGAACTGCAATAATCTTTTACAGAGTACATTCTTATGGACTATAAATCTTTTCGATATATCTTCAAACAAAAATACATGCGGCGGAAAAATAATAAAAAAAATAAAAATATTAATAATAATAAACAGAACAATTTCAATAGGTCTTTCCACAGAAAGGTGGAAAGACCTAATAAACAGAAGCATTTCAAGAGGTCTTTCCACAGAAAGGTGGAAAGACCTAATTATGACGGTGAATTACAGTTATGAATGTGCATTTCTAACACTATAACATTATTATAAATGTTTCAATCATCAATCACATTTATGTTGCTTTAAGATGATTATTTATGTATTTATTTACCTCCCCTTTATCACAAACTCGGGTCTGGTTACATTGCTCTGTTTCATTAACATGGTCACAGGAATAACACTCTGCTGAAATAAAAAGAAACCTTGACACTCTTAAAAAAAAAAACAACAATTAACCAGAGAAGCCGATCCAGCACCAAATTTTTCTTTACCATCCTGTAAATGCAATCAGTTGAATTAGTTCATTAATTGACATAATGTGGTTTGAAAGATTGCAGAATATATGCCATGACGACAGCATTAATTTATGAAGTGTGAACAGATGAACCCTTGGATCAGGTGATGACAAAAATGATGATTAAGGTTCATCCTGTGAATGATTCACACAGTGTCTGCAAACTTCTTACTAGTTTGCTA